ATGTTTCTAGTGAATGTTGATTATTCTTTTTGTCATTTTTTTACGTATAATCTTTGTACTTTTCCTATGCCAATCTTATTGTCTTACTCATTATTCCATGCATTGAATTTTTCTGGGCCAGCTATTTCCACAAGTCTCCTGTGAGGCAGGGAGGGTAGTGTAGTCTTCCACAGTAGCTGATTCTCGCAATCCTACTGCTACCACAGAGACAGGCTTCTTCCTACCAATATGGCCCATGTGTGTGAACATTTGCATATTCCATGTCCTGTTTCTCCAAACAAAAGTAGTTCTAGAATGCACACCTCAGATCCTGAGTCATTTGTTACAAACATGAATGTAGCTTTGATCTTCAAGGTATGCCTCTCCTCAGTCAGTCTATTTTTGTTAGTCCTTTCTGACATTTGCTATTGTGTGGTCTTCTGCCATTCTCCACATCTCTCTTCCCTATCTCCCACCTGGCGTCTATGTTATCGAAGCTATTTTAGCAGACTTACACCTATTTTAAAGTCTGGTGTTTGCAGTTTTTTTATTTGCTTAGTTATTTTTTGATGATAGTTTATTTGCAATAAAAGAATGGCCATGAGAGCAAAAAGAGAAAAGTGGAGTCAAAGTGAAGACCTACATAATGTGTCCTCTCTCTAGCTCTTCAATTTTATACTCTTTCTTTCATTCTCTCTCTTACTGAGCTTGGGCCTTTTCATTTGCTTTCACCTCTGACTGGAATACTCTATTTTGGCTTTCTTCTTGGTATAATTTATTTATAATTTGAGAGGGTGACATATATATATATATATATATGCAAAGTGTCCCCTTGGGAGTTTGATAGCTCACTATGACATGCGATGACCATCAGGGGGCAGTGTGGAATGTAAGAAGGCCCTGGCTGGTAGCCAGAAGGCCCTGATCAGCCCTGATTGCTGGACAGGCCTAGGGACCCTACCTGTGCATGAAATTTGTGCACCGGGCCTCTACTTAACCATAATTTGAAAGGGAAATAGAGATAGAGGGAGGATCCACAATGTATTACTGTTAGAGGGAATATGACTGGTGATTGACTAAGCAAGAAGTGAATGTGGGAACAGCTCTCTTCAGGGAAACTGATTGGAGGACATCTGTTATTTCAGTTGCTGTGTCCATCAGTGTGATTGAGCGCACCAATACAACACGCATATTCGCTATATGTATGGCACTTCTGACTTTCATCACCACTGGGTTTTATTTAAACAACAGGTTAAAAAAACAGCAAAAAAATCAGGTAAAGGTATTCTTTTTTTTTAATTAATATAAAAGTATCCCTTCTTGGAGGTATCTGCCCTTCACCTTTCTGTTTAGGAATAAGATCAAAATCAGCAAAACTCTGCCCAGAGGAAGTCAAATTAATGAGACTCTAATACTTCAACTATGAAGTATAGAAAATAATACATTATTTATATACTCCTTTGTGTATTATAAGAAATAATTTACATAAAGCATCCTTTCCTTGCACAACACAAAGGCATTCAATGAAAGCCTATTATAATTATTGTTACTATTAATGTTATGGGAGAAGGAGGAGGAACAAAGGTTATGGAAGGATTAAAGGTATTGGAAGGACAAATATTCGTGATACACTAAACATGCACAAGGAATATGAAGCATTCATTTATGAGGTCTTAAATGGACGACTGATGGGTAATACTCATTTTGGTATCATACAACTTTTGCCCAAGAAATAAGTGTATCCCCTGGCTGGTGTGGCTCAGTTGGTTGAGCATTTGCCCCTGCAACAAAAGGTCACTAGTTGGATTCCTGGTTGGGGCATATGCCTGTGTTGCAGGCTCAATCCCCAGTAGGGGGCATGCAGGAGGCAGCAAATTGATGATGACTGTTATTCTTAAATGTATAAACACTATGAGGTACACCTGA